TTATTATATGTTGTACTTTGGATTCTTAAAGCTTTTAGTCTACCATCCCATCATTCAAGGGTGGTTTTCACTATAAGTAAAAAATTATTTTTGGACGGACACTATAATTTACAGTTTTTTTACTATGTTCAATTAGAATTTTCTTTCAAATAAAAAACATCTATGTCGATTCTTACTTTTCTACATCCAACTCACAGGTTTATCATTACTTTGAGAAAAAAGATTATTAATTTTCCCTTTTTAGAAATCTAGTTATGGTCATTTGCTCTGGAAATGTCATTTTCGAGCCTGAGACCTGAAAAACAGGGATGGGGTCTAACAGGTTAAAAGCCTTGAACCTTACCTTAAAACTTAAAGTGGCCATATTATGCTATTTGGGATTTCCCGTTTCCTATAGTGTGTAATGTAGGTTTGTGTGCATGTAAATGGTCTGCAAAGTTTCTCTACAACACACTCCCACCCTTCCTGACTCACCTCCATCGGAGTCCCTTTTCTCCGTAACATTGTGACATCACTGCGTAACACTCACGTTTCTTTTGGCTAGCACTCCAACACACTGTACATAATAGGCTGAGGGGCGGGACATCTCTATGCTGTTGACAAACCGCAACAGAGATGCCAATCACAGCTGACTGGGCTCTGGTTTCAGACAGAGGGCGAAAAGAGGGTCTGCAGCACAGGCAGTATGAGAACAATGAAGAGCTTTTTGAACATTAAAGCATGGGAACATGTCACGGTAGAGGCACAATCACGGGATGCAGTGAATGCACCTCAAGAGGGGAGCAAATAGACTCCTTGCTCACATTTGCACACAAGTGAAGATGCGGTTGATGTTGTTGTCACCTCTTCCTCTTGCAATCTGTCAGGATTGTTGGGGTTTGTTACCTAACAACAAGTGATGAGTGTGGGAAGATGTGTTTTGCATCAGTAGCCACAAAGCCTTTGGGCTCACTCACAGTGCAATCTCTTCCTTCCTGTGACAAACCATTTGGAGTTAAGTAAAGCTGCACAATTATAGAATGTAAGGCCATTCCTCCAACAGCTGGAAAACAAACCCAACCTGCGGCGACTTTCATCTCAGCAGTCAGACTCCGTCACAGGGAGAGACAGCCCTCATTATCTTCATTTGAGGAACAAAGAAAAGGTGCTGTCTTTCCCTTTCATTCCTCACTTGTTGTTATTGCCACAGCAGCGCTTGGCTAGCAGAGGAATGAAAGCGAGGCAGAGCTCAATATGCGTGTAAGTTCTAGTTTTGATGTGGATTTTGACATAATTAATTGGGAGCGGATCAGAGGATATTAAGCGGGAGCTATATTAATAAATAAAATCTTCAGCATCAACACGGAGCCCGATAATGACTAATTTCAATCGTCAAATAAACAGCGAATCTGACTCAAGTGCGAATGTACACAAGGAATTATTTATGTGTATCAATTAAAATCTCATTGCTGGTGTGCTGCCTTTGCTTACAAATTAAAACAGCCCCTGACTCTAAGATGAAGGTACATATCCAAATGTGCTCCAACATCGCCTCTTCCTCTTCTCATTAGAGATCCTTCTTTTAAACTCTGCCGATAACGTGTGTGTGTGTGTGTGTGTGTGTGTGTGTGTGTGTGTGTGTGTGTGTGTGTGTGTGTGTGTGTGTGTGTGTGTGTGTGTGTGTGTGTGTGTGTGTGTGTGCGCGCTATACTCAGCCCGGTTGTATTGTAAAGGGAATTATTTAAAAAAAGAAATTCTCGACAAATCACATTGTATATGATTAAGCAAACTAGCAGATAGAATCACAAGAGGCTTTGTTGTTGTTGTTTTCTATTGTTGTGCTGCTCTGTGTCAGTTTGCTCTTCCTCTTTGTTTCCTTTTTTTTTTTTTTTCCCCCAAGCCCACGGTGCATTCAGGCTGGATTTAATTGTTGTAATTGCATTGCTTCAGGAGTTTTTCATCAGCCTCGCTTTAATACTCTCCACCACGACTTGATGCAACTCGTAAACTCTCTTTAACGGTAAAAGTTAACCGTCCTCCTGCAGTGGTCAAACATTGTCTAAATAGTGAATAAAGCGCCGAAAGAAGGAGACTTCAGAATGTCTAATGCGCCAGATGTATTATTAATGCCTCGGCCAGAACTCAGCCCAAGAATGCTGTAATTAGGAGTTGTTGTTTTTCTAAAGCAGGCAATGGAAAGTATTCCAAACACGTACAACAAAGGGAAAAAAGTCTACACGGATGCCTTGTTTGGTTTACATTGTAATTGTTGTGAAGTTAAGCGAGCCAATTAGGCCGTGATTATTCTAGTGTAGACAAGTCACCCTGAGGATCAAGTTCATCCGCTGAGTTTCATTGCTCGGAAACAAAAGGAGGAAAAGTTGAGCCTGAAATTAGAATCCATCTGTTTGTTGTTATTTTGGACGCGTTAATGATGTAGTTCTAAATGTTTACAGCCATTATTATGGCTGGCACACAGTAATTGGATGCGTCTGTCTATTCTGCTGATTTGCTTATTTGTTCTTGTTAGATTTTAAAGCTTTGTGCAAAAAAAAGTTTGAGACTAGACTCTTATTCCATTAACAGTTGTATTAAAATTAAGAACAAATTCAGTATTGAAAACCAGGAGGAAGCTAAGTACATTACACCAAGGTGCATTGGCTTCTGTTTAATGTTAAACAAAATGTGGTTTGTGGAAACGTGCTCTGAGCAATGTTGTACAGGAGTGGGAATGGTTCGATGTTGTGGTAAACACTTTGTAGGAATAGGTTTATTCAACCAAATGTGCTGTGCTAATGTGGGGCTGCTTGTTGTTTGCCAACAATTACATTCTGACAGCTCAGCTGATTTGCGAAGAAGCAATGGATTATGGGATACAAGGGCCGCTGTGGTGGAGACCAGCATCCCTCTTAATGAATATGACCAGGGTTAGGCGTCCCCTATGCACACATTTAAACACAGTGCATGACCCCGCCGGAGCCCCTCAGCACCATGAGGCCCAATCAGCACTGTTTGAATGTTTTAATATGCACAGCTACATTCTCTTTAATTTCTTGCAGATGAAATCAAACAGGCTGCCATGCTGAAAGAGTCCCTACAACAAAGATTTCAACTGGTTGACAGATGTGTGTGTCTGTAGCATTTAGTGGGAGGCTTTATACTTTGGTGTATTGACATATATTTCTTAGTAAATTAAAGAGGACATATTATGCTCATTTTAAGGTTCATATTTATATTTTCTGCCTCTGTGACTTCTCAACATGCTCTAATGTTCAACAAGCTCTTTATTTTTCTCATACTGCCTGTGCTGCAGCACCTCTTCTCACCCTCTGTCTGAAACCAGAGCCCAGTCTGCTCTGATTGGTTAGCTGGCAGGCTCTGTTGGGATTGGTCAACTGCTAAGAGTCCCGCCCCTTAGCCTATCACGTACAATGTGTAGGGCAAGTGTTACAAAGTGATGTCACTATGTTACAGAAGTAAACAAAGAAGTCCAATTGAGGCAAGGGGGGAGAGTGTCAGAGAGAAACCCCCTCTGGGGTGAAGTTTAGGATTTTGGCCTTTACAGACCATTTACATGCACTAAAAACCTTTGTAACACATTTCAGAGAAGGTAAAACACAAAAAGCAGAATAATGCCCCTTTAAGTAAATGTAGGACTCAAATTACTATATATTTTTTAATATAAAAGCCATTATCCAAACAATGGCTGGCCACCGTGAATAAATGGTGGCAGTTTTTTTCTTGGGGAAGACATACATCTTTCTTTAAACCTTTTTTTTTTCTTGCCGTATGAAAAACTATTGTGATACACTTAGTTTTCCAGAAAGTGTATTCAATAGTTTAAATGTAAGCAGACAGGAATATCTGTATTTGGAGAGAGATATTATATTCTGACTCTCAGATGAATGTCCCCACTTGTATGGTAATAGAAGTGTTTGTGCTTCCTCTAGGTGCTGTGACTGCGATATGCGACGTGTCCCAGCGCATCCAGGACAACACCCGGCGCCATGAGAACCACCTGCAGCTCTGCCGGGTGCAGAAGCTGCTGAAGGGGCGAAAGACCAAGGTGTTGGCTGCAGGTTAGAGCCTCTGATCACGTATTCCTTTCATCCCCCAACACCTCCATCTCCCCTCCTTCTGCATCTATTGTTCTATGTCCTTTGGGACTCACAGGGGTGGATGGGGAAGGGAGAAATCAACTAAAGGGAAATTAGCTAAGTATTGAGACATTGTGTTTAATCAATTTATTCAATCCGACTTCCTGCAGGAAACTAAAGTATGTAGCGCATCCCACCACTTTATTAAAAGCGCATTACTGCTAACTGTAAGCGAGTAAATGTGCTTTCCTCGTTCATCCTGCCTACTTCCCTGCTCATTTATATCCCCCCTCATTGTGGTTCCCTCTCTACTTGTGGAGCGGTGGCCCTTCTTCTTCCTGCCACTCCCCCTCCCGTTGTTTGTCTGGCCTCCTCGTTGCTCCGCTCGCCCTGCCAATCTCCCCTAGGACCAATTAGAGCCCAGCCTCATCTTGCCGACCAGCACATAAAAAGGAAGCTGTGTGTGTGTGTGTGTGTGTGTGTGTGTGTGTGTGTGTGT